TTGGGTTTCGGGCATAGGGTTTAGGGTTTAGGGTTCGTGGCTTTTTGGGTAAGCGGGGTTATAGGTTCCGCAGCAGAACTTATAACTACAGTTAACTTAGAACTACCCATGAAACCTCCACGTAATCGTTGCCCCGATTTAGGCTGTAGGGTTCAGGGTGTATAGCTTATAGGGTCCTTGTTGAATTTATGCTACAATATACCTCGCCCCAAACCCATTCAAATTACTTATGGCCCATATCCTACCTGCAGGTAGAGAGGCATAAGGCTGTAGGGCTCTATTGGGAATGAGGTTACAAGATTTGGTTTGGGGGTTTCAATTTTGATCCAATATCATCGCAATGGCAATCCCTGAACCCTACCGAAAAGCCGCAACTACCGGCCCCGTTCCGTCGAGCCTTCATGTTTACTAATACTATTTTTGGGGGGTTCCTTATTGTAATCAGTATAATGGACCGCAAAACCCTATTGTAATTATCAAGCCTCCTACGTATGTTAAACCCTCACCCCTGCAACCCTAAACCCTAAACCGTCACCCTCTTGACACCTCACCTGTCCAACCCTCAAACCCTTCAAACGGAAGTTCAAGCCAAAGGCGAAGTCCTTTTCGAGGTACGCTTGTCATAGAAGAAATACTGTACATCATTATCCTCATGCCTGTAAGGTAAAGTATATAAGGGGTGAGAGCCCTAGCGCGAATCATCCTCAACCCATGTTCCAACTTTCGGGGCTTGGCTGTAAACGCAACAAAGAAAAACACGAAAGAACTAAACTCCACATGCGCCTGAACGCAAAAATCGAGGATTGAAATTAGTTTTCAGGTATTTCTAATGAACAAAGAAACAAGTAGAAACGTTTTAAGGTATGCCTTTATAAATGAACAAAGAACCCAATCAACGTAAGCCCGAAACCCTGAACCCCACATGGGTAGTTCTCCAAATTAGGGTCCCTTTTTAGGTCCCCAATATAATACGGCACCCTTAAAAGCGATCCTAAAAGGGACCCTAATTTAGAGAACTACCCACATGGCAGAGGAAGAGGAGGAGCAGCCCCCGCCAGAGGCGGATCCTGAGGCACGGGTTGGTCCGGGCTGGTTTGCCGTGAGGTCGTTTCGGTTTTAGGCTTTGAGGTTTAAGGGTTTTAGGGTTTAGGGATTTTTGGGTTTAGGGCTTTGGGCTTTAGAGTTTTCGGTTTAGGCTTTGGGGTTTAAGGGCTTTAGGGTTTAGGGATTGTTGGTTTAGGGCTTTGGTCTTTGGCCTTTCTGCTGCCTGGGGTTTTGGGTTTGGAATTTTTGTTGACCCTGACCAAGGGTGACTTCACTAGGTTTCCTGCTTAGGGACCCTAAACCCTAAACCCTAAACCCGGGGTTGGGACATCTTACCGGAGAAAGCTGCAAAGCTGCAAATTCGAAGCAGCCCTGAACCTAGATCCCTCTTTACCTCCGACCCCTATCGCATAAGGCTTCTAGGCCCAGGAATCCATACTATGTGAGGTTTCTGGGTTGCTTGGAGGTTTAGGGGTAGTATAGGGGCCTTACTGATTAGAATAGGGCTTTTAGGACTATATTGTAAATATAATGAGGAACCACCAAAATGGTACTGGTAAGTACTCAGACCCCTAAACTCTCAACCCCAAACCCTAAACCCCAAACCCCAAACCCCAAACCCCAAACCCCAAACCCTAAACCCCAAACCCCAAACCCTAAACCCTAAACCCCAAACCCTTAACCCCCAAACCCTAAACCCTAAACCCTAATACCCAAAACCCTAAACCCTAAACCATAAACCCATAAAACCATAAACCGCAGATGGTGTGCAGAGGGTCTCGGATTAAGTCGGCCAGCTTTTCGGCTGTGGGGCCTACGGCGTAAAGGATTGTGTTGTCGAGGGCAAGGGTCAAGGTTACGGTTTAGGGGTTTAGGTTTTAGGGCCTAGGGTTTAGGGTTAGGGTTTAGGGTTTAGGGTTTAGGGTGTATGGTTTAGGGCAAGGATCAAGGTTGCGGTTCAGGGGTTTAGGGTTTAGGGCCTAGGGTTTAGGGTTTAGCGTTTAGGGTTTAGGGTGTAGGGTTTAGGGCAAGGATCAAGGTTGCGGTTTAGGCTGCCCGTAGCCCCTGGCGAAGCAAAATCTTAGATACTTGCCCCACAATGCATAATTCCAGCATAAAATCCTTTAATTCTAAAACATAGAACCTCCTCCCAAAAACCCGAGACGAGAGATACACATATCACACATTCACACATGGCAGTGGCAGTCGCAGTGATCATGGGAGTGGCAGTGGTAGAGCTGTTACTGTTCAGGATTTGATTCTTCGGAGCGCGGCAAGGAGTACCTGGTGTCAGCAGAAGTCGTCATCTTCAAGGAAGATGCTCTGGAAAAAATGCGCTGCAGGCATACCACAACCAGCAGATTGACACCGCAGGGTACTTGCCTGTGCAGCAACCGCTGCACCAAAAGCATGTCAATGGGGGCGCTTGCAACTGTATCCGACGACCCCTGCGCATTGGATGACATGGATCTGCAAGCACTGTATGACCAAATGTTCAGTTTTCCTCGTAACCCAACATGCAGAGCAGTAGGTTGATTCGAGCCGCGGTTCTGAGAATTTAAGACGTAAGATTTGTGCTGAGGGCCACCTCTGGCCATGAACTTGTGAGGCTTTGGTTCTGGGCTTTAGGGTGCTCATCCCTGAATCCTAAACCCTAAACCCTAAATCCTAAACCCTAAACCTTAAATCTCACAAACTAAAGCCGGAATGCCTGAGCCATGAAATAAAGTCTACGCATACACGAACAAGCAATAGGGGATGCCGAAGCCGTGGTGTATGAAGCACAACGTTTCTGTCCACATCACCTGCCCATTCGAGACCGTTCGTATAGTAGTGTGATGGGGTCTCTCACCAAACGCAACTTGTCGCCAAGGATCACGGACCCTAAACCCTAAACCCTAGACCCTAAACCCTAAAGCCTAAACCCTAAACTGGACTGCAGGGCTTGATGGGACAGCTGCATACTAGAATCAGCCAAATCAATACGGCGAGAAGTTGGATCAGTGTATGTCCGATTTAGTTTGCCTAAAACCCTCAAGGCCCAAACCCAAACCTGAAACCGCGAACCCTAAGCCCTTCAACCCTAAACCCTAGAACCCTAAACCCCAAACCCCAAACCCTAAACCCTAAACCCCAAAACCTAGAACCCTAAACCCTAAACCCTAAACCCTAAGCCCTAAGCCCGAAACCCTAAACCGAAAGAGACCGCAGACTCGCCGAAGCCTCTTAGGACGCGAGCACCGAGCGAGACGAAACGGTGTGCTTTGGCCTGACCTTGCTGGAAGGAGTGGCGGAGGCTGGGATCCTTGACCTGTTACTAGTTTTTGGGGTTTAGGGTTTAGGGGTTTAGGGTTTAGGGGTTTAGGGTTTAGGGTTTAGGGGTTTAGGGGTTTAGGGGGTTTAGGGTTTAGGGTTTAGGGGTTTAGGGTATCTGGGTCCTTGTTGGCGACAAGTTTACATTTTTGTTAGAAAAAACCGAATAAGGATTAACCATGATCATTTTAAATCTAACTCCACCAGGGATCCTGGATGGTGATACCTGTTACTATTATGACTATGGCTATGATGATTCCCATTGTTGTTACTATACTCAGTATTGGTATTGTTATTACTAATATTGTTAGTCTCAGTATCAGTATCAGTATTAGCGTTAGCACTAGGATTAGTATTAGTATTAGTGTTAGTAATATCAGTATTGTTGCTAGTCTTGTTATTCTTGTTATTATTATGCTCTTCTTAGTATGATCAGGACTCTTGCTGCTAGTTTTTCACGTTTGGTAGTATGTATTTGTTGTATTATTCTTGAAGGGTTGCCTTGGAAGGGCTCCCTTGAGCAACAAGGGTTCCTTTGAGGGTTTAGGGTTTAGGGCTTAGGGTTTAAGATTGAGGGTTTAGGATTTAGG